TGTTCTTCTTCTCTTTTTGGAGGTGGACGGCTTTTCTTGCCCTGAGCCACACTTCTCCGCGTGTCTCTGCAAGTTACTCTGTCGGAGAAACGACACGGAGCACATGAGGACCAGTGTTTAAAACCCACGGTTAGAGAGACGGGGCTCTGGGGACAGGGAGTGACACGTACCTTGTAAAATCCTGTACAAAACAGATGACTTTTTAAAGGTGACCCTTTCTGTTGTGCTTAGGTCTAGCCAAAAGCTAGCTTATTTTTAAATGTATTTTTACGATCGTGGATGTCAATGAGGAAAAGTTCATTTTTCAGACTGCTTCTGCTCTCCAAAGTGAGGCTTGATATTTACACCAAAAATTCAATATGTCATCAGTTTTATGAAAATCAACAACGTACCACAGAAACTATACTGCTCTGCCAGCTTCTCTCCTGACCTACTGTGCGCGGAGGTATTAGAACTGCAATGTTACACCAGGAATTGACACAACACTGTAAACTGACTGTACATCAATGAAAAAAGTGAACAGCATTTAGAATTAAAAAGGCAGCTCAGAGATTTCCTAGTCAAGCCTGTTAATGATATAACCCCACATACGGACCCTCAGGGTGATCGAAAGTAGGACAGAACACTTACACTATTTGAAAAAGTTCGCATGCCATAGAAAGATACCAGTGGCATGTCATTAAATTTGCCGATTATGTAAAACGTGCCCCCTAATTTCCCTTTTGACTTCAGGACTGCTTGGTGTGTGGGTGGGAGGAGGAAGGATTCACAGAGAAAGGCAGGGGGAACATTACTCAAACTTCTTCCATTTTAAGCCTCTCCACAGGGGTTGCAAACTACAGCCTGCGGGACAGGTATGGCTGGCCAGCTGTCCTTGTAAATCACGTTTCGTGCAACACAGGCATGTCCACCAAGATGCTTCGGTGCTACAATCACGGACTTCAGGCGCTGGGGCAGAAACTGGTCTGTGCAGCTGGAAATAATTACTATCTGGTCCTTTCCAGAAAAAAGTGTGCCAACCTCTGGCTCATGTGGTGATTATGTAGAAACCAAGCCTTTGGGGGTCAAGGATTCCCTTGTGAATATGACAAAAAGCAGTGGTGCCTGCGTATCTCCAAGCACAGTCTCCCTACAGCTTCAGGAAATTCATGGCTGAGAACTCCTGATACCAGTTTTGGATGAATGAACAAAACCAACAAAACCACATCCAGCCTTTAAAAACGAAGTGGGGTAAGGTTTTAAGTAAACATATGGACATTCAGGGCCCAGAGGGCAGAGTAATAATGTAACAAACCTCTGGATCGGGGAAGTGTTTCTCAAGAGAGGAGGTGCGTGACCTGCACTCAGAGCAGGGGTCCCTCCTGGGGAGGAAGCGGCTGGCCCTGCGGCATCCTGGTATAGAGATGCACAGGGACTACTGCGTGGAACAGGATGGAGGATTGTGAATAATTTACCCTGAAAAAATTAAATTGAATTTGAGTGTCCGGATCTGCTTTCATTTATTTGTTTATTTTTAAACACTTATTTTTTTAAGAGCAAGTTTTAGGTTCACAGCGAAACTGAGAGGGAGATAGAGGCGCCCTAAAAATCCTCTGTTCTCTGTTTATTCATTCACCCCCCCGATGCCAGCCCCTGGCAACCACTGGTCTTTCTGCTGTCTCCATAGTTTTGTCTTTTCCAGAATGTTATCTAGTTGGAATCATACGGTACGTTGCGTTTCCAGACTGGCTTCTTTCCCTAACACACATTTAAAGTTCCTCCAGTCTTTTCGTGGCTTGACAGCTCATTCCTTTTTAGCGCTGAATAATATTCCACTGGCTGGAAGCACCACGGTTTGTTTATCTATTCACCTTCTCAAGGAAAGTCTTGGTTGCTTCCAAGTTTGGGCAATTATGAGGAAAGCTGCTATGAGCACCTGTGAGCAGGATTTTGTGTGGACGTAAGCTTTCAGCTCTTCTGGGTGAATATCAAAGAGCAGGAGTACTGGATTGCATGGTGCGAGCATGTTTAGTTTCACAACAAATTTCCAAACAGTCTTCTAAAGCATCTGCACCATCTTGCACTCCCACCAGCACTCAGTGAGAGTTCCCGGGGCCCCACATCCTCACCAGCACGTGGTGGTGTCAGTGTTCTGGATTCTGGCCATTCCAGGAGGTGCTGGGGTATCTCGGTGTGTTTCTTTGCATTTCCCTGATGCCACGTGATGTGGACCAAGTTTTCGTATGCTTGTCTGCCATCGGTAGACCTTCTCTGGCGAGGTATCGAAGTCTCTGGCCCAGGTTTAGCTGGGTGGTTAGCTTATCACTGAGTCTTGAGTTCTTTACGTTTTGGAGAAGCCTCTTATCAGATGTGACCCTTGCATGTATCTTCTCCTAGTTTGCAGCTTGTCTTCTCATTCTTTTGACACCGTCTCTCGCCGAACAGAAGTGTTTAATTTTACTGAAGCTCAGCTTACCAGTTACTTCATTCATGGATCACGTCTTTGGTGTTTCATTCAAAGTCATCACCACACCCCGGGTCGTCTGGATCTGTTCCTACGTTATCGTCCAGGACTTTGAGTTTTGTGTTTTACGTTTAGGTCTGGGACCGATTTTGAGTTAACTTTTGTGACTGGTGTAAGGTCTCCGTCTAGGTTCTGTTCCTTTTTCCCTTTGGCACGTGGGCGTCCAGTTGTTCCAGCCCCATTATCTGAGAAGATAACCTCTTCTCTGTTGCACCGCCTTTGCCCCTTCCTCAGAGATCCACTGACGATGTTTCTGGGCTCTCTGTTCTGTTCCGTTGGTCTAGTTACCTGTTCTTTCACCAGCATCGCACCGTCCTGATCACCGTAGCTGTACAGTAAGTCTTGAGGTTGGATCTTGTCAGTCCTCCCGCTTTACTCTCCTTCAATATCGTGTCGGCTCTTCTGGGTCTTTTGCCCTGCCAGCCTCCGCATCAGTCTGTCGATGTCTGCAAATAACTTGCTGAGACTCTGAGAGGCATCACGCTGAATCTTCCGTGACATCTTGACGGTACCGAGTTTCCTCCTCCGCGAACATGGGACATCTCCACTTCCTCAGCTCTTCTCGGCTCTCCCGCCTCAGAGCATTCTTCATTTCTGTTACAACGCTGACCTCTGGCATTTCTTTCTGGTTCTTTCTTAAGATTTCCCGTTCTGCTCGCACTGCCGGTTCGTTCTTGCGTTGCTGCCTACGTTTTCCCTCAGAGCTCCCACGTATAAATCACAGTTGTTTTAAACTCCTGGTCTGACAACTGTAACACCCCTGCCCCTTCTGTTTCTGACGTTTGCTCTGTCTCTTCAAATTGTGTTTAGCACGCCTTGCGATTTTTTGTCCCACAGCTGGACATGCTGTACTGGGCAAGCAGCTCCTGTGAAAAGGCCTTTAGTAGTGGGGAGGGGGGTGGATCTACGCCTGGGACTAGGTCTAGTCCTCAACGAGCCTGTGCCTCTGGACTGGGAACTGCAGGCGTGCTTCTCAGGTGTGTCCCCTCCGCGCCAGAAGAAGGTGGAGCTGCGTACCTCCCTTCACCAGGTCAGGCAGATGCTGATACACCCCGGCAGGTTAGGCGCCGGTTAACTGGCTTCCCCGAGGGCAGGCCCCGTGAAGAGCACGGGGCTCCGGGCCAGCTCAGGGCCTCTTCCGCCCCCTGGCAGGATGCAGGAGATCCGGCAAGTTGTCCGAGTCCTTCATGTGTTCTAGATGCAAGTCCAGATGTGCCTTCGTGAATGGAAGAAAAAGCGTCAGAACTCCTGACTTCGTGTTCTGAGGGGTGCCGAGGCTGAGTTCTTCTCTTCCCAGCTGTCTTGTTTCTCGGGCCAAAGGGCAGCTTCTTGACCATTTACACTCGGTGCGAATGACACTGGTTTTTGGAGCACTGCTGCCACTTTTATTTGAAATTCTGAACTAACACCACTAACGCTCCAGAAGGGAGCCACCACCCAAAATACACAACCACCCTGCGTCTTCTTTCAAGAGAAAAACTAGGTTCCCCCATAAAAACAGTCAGATTCAGAAAATTTAAAACCTTCACAAAGTTAAGGTGGACGCACATTGTCCAGGGGTCTAGCTAGTCATCCGCAGTGGCTTTAAAATGTCCCCAAATTCTTTAACACTCTTTCTTTCAAAGGGGACTTCAGCCCCCACCCCTTGAGTGTGGCTGGACTTTGTGGTTTGTTTCTAATGAATAGAAGGGATCTTGCGTTGCTTCTGAGACTAGGAGACGACAGCCACTGTGGCTCCCTCCCCGTTCTCTCCCGCTTGCTCTGGGTCACGAGGACACCTGAGCAGCCTGGGGGGAGGCCCACATGCTGGGGAACTGACGCCGCCTGCCAGCAGCCACGCCGGGTGCGCCACCTTGGACGTGGGCCCGGCGGCCCGGCCGGTGGCCGCAGCCCCTGACAACGCTCTGACCGTAACGTCGCGAGCGACCCTGGGCCAGGACCACGCGGCCAAGCCGCTCGCAGCTTCCTGACCCACGGAAACTGCGCGATAATAGATGTCTGTTGTTTGAAGCCACTAACTTTTGAGGCACTTTGTTATGCAGCAATAGAGAAGTAACACAACACCTAAAAAATAAAATGCAGTTGAGGGGTAAATGTATTTCTCTGCACAGTACCAAGAGCATGTTCTAAGAATTTCTATAAAACATACTAAAAATTAAGTTACCTCTGTGAAGTAGCCTAAATCTAGTCCACAGGGACAATTTAAAAATGTTACATTAAAAACAGGAGTTCTTTGTGGATTGCTGGGAGTCTGAGAACTGCCTGAAACCATTAGGAGCCTTTGTCTGCAGGACTGTCTTTTACACGGAAAGTAGACCACACGTTTATAAGATTTTCAAGAGTTTTGTGACTCCAAAAAGACTGCTGACCACCTTCCTGGCATGACAGATGCTACCGTAAGTCCTGGCAAGTTTCTATAATCAGGTTTAACTCCCCGAGTGTGACACGAGCCTGGGGGAGGGCGGCGCCTTTTCAAGGAGGATTTGCCGTGAGCGAGCTTACCCAGCGGGAAAAGCCTCTGCTACATCGGGGGCATTCGTGAACGGTCGGGGTGAAGTTGGTGTCATGGCATTTCCTGACGTGCACATTCAGCAGCTGCTTCTGCCGGAAACACTGACTGCAGGAGAGGCAGGCAAACGGCTTCTCTCCAGTGTGGGTACGGATGTGAACTGTCATATGGCGTTCCTGGGAGGGGAGGGGACGAAAACAAATGGCTTAGCTATTTATAGGAATTTTTTCGTCTCAGACATTATTTGCTGAGTGATACCTTTCTCCCCTCCCCAAAGATATATGCATTTTTAAGGAAAAAACAAAGCAAATGCACCTTCAGCACAGCACTACGTGGAAGCTTGGCCTGGCTCCCGGGAGACAAACTCGCACACGGTCCCCGCCATCGGGTCTGCAAGTGCTCACAACGGACCCAGCTGCTCCTGCAGTCCCACGGCGGGTGCAGCAGAACACAGCTCGGTGGGGGGGCCCGTAATCAGTCTCCCCTCCAAAAGGCCTCATGTGCTTGCAGCCCGACTTCTAGAATTATTTGTCATGACCTGAACTGACAAAGGGCAGATGGAACCTGCAAACTTGAAAATCTATCACTTGGGTTTCAATTCGTTGGACATCTAGGGTTGGAAGGACAGTAAGCATCTAAATGTCTTCCCGCCCACTTCCGGAGAGGATTATAACCACCTTAACAATGATTCAAAAGCACGGCGGTGAAAATAATTGTTCTTAGCAAAGAAACCCCCAGAAGTTTTGACTAAGATTTATATGAGTAAGTCACTGGGGAGTCAGGACAAACGTATACATGAAGTCAAGCAAAAGCTCAGGCCGGAGCCCTGCCTGACACTCTTTCTTCCAGCCTTTCTCTCATGAACATCCTCCACCTCCCCACACACCTTTCATCTCCTCCCTCCTCTCAGGAGAGCATCACCTGGTCTCTTGCCAGGAGTCAAGGTCCAGCGGGAAGGTAGGTCAGCGCCCCCGGCAGTGCTCCGGCCTCATCTCCTGCCTCCAGGTGCTCCAGGTCTGCTCCCCAAACCCCGGGGGCTTCACCCTCCCTGGAACCATCCCCCAGGCTTCATCCAGCTTCCGGGGAGCCCTCCTAGTTCATCGCGACAAATGTCCTGTGCTCGGGGCACCCGAACATCCTAATGCTCAAAGTCTACAAGGAAAACTCTGACTCCTTTATTCAAAGCATCTCCTATTGCTAGCCCGCACCCTGGAGCACCGCAAGCACTAGCTTCCACCTCTGGCGACCTGCAGCGAAATGTTCACAGTCGCACACGGCGCTTCGAAGCAGCCACTCAGCTCTTCAGCTTCTGGTCTTAGGACCCGTTATGTTCTTAGACAGTCCCTGACGACCCAGGGGGCTTGTGTTTATGGGGGTGACAGCTGTCACTACCGACCGGATTAGAAGTCGACAGAGAAATGAAGAAAGTGTAAAAACACTTCAAATTCATCTAAAACTAACTACAAACATATTCAGTATGTTTCTGTAAACATCCATTATCTATTTCTTAAAACAAACGAAAATTAACGTCTGGCCTCATGCTAAAATTCAGGCTGCACTCTGGAACATACTTATATACGAAAGTGTTCGCTGTTTATCTGAAATTCAAACTTAACTGGTCATTCTCTATTTTTATTTCTAAGTCTGGCAACTTAATTAAAAGAAAACAGCTTCTGCCCTCAGCCTGCTGGAGCGTGCCGTTGTGGCTGACCCAGGGGAAGGGAGTCTGCTCTCCCAGATACACAGCTGGGACACGGAGCCGAATTTTTATAGCTTTTTTCAAATAATTACACATGTTCTCTGATACTGTACCGAAACTCAAGACGTTGGTAATTTCTCCAAAGTGGGTTAAAATGTGGAGTCTGAAACTGCACCAGTGAACTCGTGATGCTCTGTTACATTAAAATCTGTTGACTTATCTCATACTTTGAATGGATCCTTTACCCATGCACGATTTTGCAAAATAATAGAGGGGTCATTTGGAAAATATCAGTTTACTGAGTTATGAAGAGCTTCTAAATGTTGAATATATACTATAAGAAACTGCTGTCTTAAAATCACTCCAGTCTCACTAGAAACATTTTTAAATATTAGAAAGCCGCCAAGCTCATGCTGGGGGGTAGAAGTGCTCCAAAATTTGAATTCTAATTTCCTCTTGAAAGTGGAAATCGTATCCTTAGCAATACACCTGCCCTGAAGTGGCGGGCTCGCTTCGTGAGTTCTCAAGGAAATGTCTAACAACTGCCATCAGCAGTGGAACAAGCAGAGGCTGTCACTCGTTCTTTCAAGTGAAAACAGGGATTCGTAAAAAAGTGGCTAGTTGAGCTGGCAACTCAAAAACCTAGCGGGCGTGTCCCCCTCCAGAGGACAGTGACTGTGCTTTATGACGACTTCCTAGCTCACCACATGGACAGTTACAGAGATGAGCATCCAGGCTCAGGACTGAATAAAGTGAGTAACTTTCATGCTTTGTCAAGGATGTTCTTAAGGAAAACTGCCTTTTCTTTGTGCTCCGGGACATGAAGGTGAAGAGCACTGCAGGCCTGCCTGGTGTGGCCACTTGGGTTCCCTGAAGGCAGCCCCACTGCTCCTGCACCTCCAGTGCCAGGGCCACACAGGCAGAAGGCGTTATAACTAGTTTGTGACAATAATTCTTATCTCCTGATCCTGGTCGGTCTCAAGGACCTCTAGGGCTTCGTGAGCCACACTTTAAGAACAATTGCCTTAAGGGGGGAGGGGATAGCTCAGTGGTAGGGCATGTGCTTAGCATGCATGAGGCCCTGGGTTCCATCCCCAGTCCCTCCATTAAAATAAATAAATAGAAAATCTAATTATCTCACCCCTCAAAAAACCAAAGCAAGAACGGTTTCTTTAAACTCTTGGCTTGTGGCTACTTTTTGGTTATTCTAAATAGTCTCTTTTATTAAAGCATGGCTTTGAAAAAAATTTTTCCAAGTGACAGAGCATCTCATTCCAACCCCCCATCCACGCACCGCCAGCGCCCAGCGCGTCCCACGCGCACCTGTCTGCAGGCGTAGCCGCAGTGCTCACACTTGAACCTCTTCTCGTTCTTGTGCGTTTTCTGGTGCTGAACGAGGGTGTAGCGGTCGTGGAAGGCGGCGGGGCAGTAGCGGCACTCCATCGCCGCGGCTCTGTAAGCGTGCAGGTTGCGCAGATGGACGCCTGGAACAGTTACAGACCGTCACAGGCGAGAAGAGGACTGTTTCCGTGAGGTTGCCTCCCCCACCCACCAAACAGGGGCTCCCAGCCTGGGCTCCACGGGCAGACCGCAGAGACACCGCGGGGTCAGCTCCAGCTGCGTATAAAATTCATGTTTACGCTACACTGCAGTCTGTTATGCGTGCAACAGCATTGTGTCTAAAAACAATGTACGTGCTCTAATCTAAAAATACTTTATTGCTAAAAAATGCTAATCATCATCTGAGCCTTCAGCCAGTCGTAGTCTTTTTGCTGGTGGAGGATTTGAAATACTGTGGGATTGATCCAAACGTGACACAGAGACAAGAAGTGAGCAAACGCCGTTGGAGAAGCGGACTTGCTCCAGGCAGGGCTGCCGCAAACCTTTCACCTGTGAAAAACGCGGTGCCTGAGCAGCGCAGCAAAGCCAAGTGCAGTAAAACGAGATGCGCCGGTGTTAAAGCTGGAGGCGCGCTAATTCCTCCGCGGGTGGGCAGGTCCTGTGTGGGGCCGGACATCAGCAGCAGTCACCCGCTGGGGCCAGCAGCGCCCCCGCCTCGTGACAGCCACAGTGCCTCCAGACACTGTGACGTCTCTCCCGGGGGGAAAATCATTCCCAGCTAAAAACTGCTGCTCTGGATGAACAGCATATGGACATCTCATTTTAATGCCCTTTCACGGGGAGTCAAGCGTTGCATGAGGCAGGGCAAGCTGGACCTGACGGGCTCCTTCAGCAGAGCACGCTGAGAGCCTCATGGTGCAGGTGGACCTTTAGGATAACGTAAGATGGTTTTACATGACAAACACAGAACCCCTGCATTCTAACTTAAAGCCCGGACGTTCCGTTAGAAGTCAGCGCTGTTTGTCCTGCATCATAATCGACAGACATGCTCCAGGGTGACTTCTGCTCAGCTGGGTCTAGAGCACGGCGGTTTTGTGATCCTTTGAGTAAGAGGCCAAACAAAAACTGACAAGTGCAGGGCGGAGATGCAGCCCAGATGCGCTGACTCAGTCATTCAAAGAGCTCTATTTCTCACACAGCGACAGGAGGGGACACTTCGCTTGTTTATAAAGCATCTTACGGGGTACACGGGGTGTGCTGCCTACTCAGGTGGGACGTAACCTGTGCTTCTTTGCTGTGGTGTCAAAAATGTCCTTTCTTGGAGGCGGAGGGTCTAGCTCAGTGGTAGAGCACGTGCTTAGCATGCACGAGGTCCTGGGTCCCCAGTGCCTCCATTAAATAAATAAACAAACCTAATTACCTCCTGCCCTCGCTCCACCTGCCCCCCGCCCCCAAAAGTCCTTTCTTGGCAACTGGCTCTTGACCCTTGTGCCCTACCAGGTCCCACTGGACTGTGTTTTGCAACTGACACATGTTCCAGATAAAACAAAAAGTTAAGGTTTGAGTAAACATCTTTACCCTTTCAGAAAAGTTCTCAAAACAGTGCCTTACATCTCTAGAATTTCTCTGGGCAAAACTGGGGACTCTGTATTTTTGTTGACATATTTTGAATATCATAGCATTATGTATTTTGGAAAGAGAAAAGAGATCATGGAAAATGGGAGGCCAGGAACCCTGGAACAAAGGAGAGAGGCTGGTTCACCACCGTCACCCCCACCACTGCCCACTGCTACGCATGGGCAGACTTCCCCTGCAGGCGGGATGCGACCCCAGCTCCTAACGTGGCACCTGGACTCGCTCACAGTGACATCCATTCTTGCTCCGCGGTGCCTCGTACTGTTTGTTAGGGGGCTCACCGCGCCACAGTGTGGGTTTCATGTCACCTGGGCTCTAAGACCGAAGAACCACGTCTTGCTCCTTACGTTTGTACCCTCAGTTCCCAGAACCATTTTAGGGTCACAGCAAGGGCTGAAGACAAGTTTGCTGAGAGTCACTGGAGGGAACATTAATGAAGAATCAGAACCTGCAACCAGGCCACCTCCCAGCACCCAGGTCCTGGGCACCGTGGGGCAGCTCGCTTTCTGTCTCTGATCCCCTTCGTCATCCATAAAAACAGGCCCAACCGGGAATAAAATAACATCCACCCTTGAAAGTGCTTTATGAGCTCAAGTGCCCCCGAAAGCTCATCTGCGCACCTGGACTGGCCGGGGCGGACTTGGAACCTGCACTTACGCTATGCAGCCACAAGATGGCACCACAGGACCTGTGGACAAAAACCCAGGCCCAGGCGCCCAGTTCCCCGAAGAGCCAGCACCCAGTGCCGCTCAAGGAGCTCACTCAGCTGGACACTCACGCAGGTCGCTCTTCCTCGCGATGATGGCGGCACAGTGTGGGCACTCGTATTTGGGCAAGTTCTCGCTGTGCTTCTGCAGGACGTGGATCTTCATGGTCCCGCTCTGGGTGAAGCGTGCGTGGCAGACTTGGCACTCGTAGGGCTTCTCACCTGGGACACAGGCGACAGCAGTGACCCTCTGCCCAGGGCTCCTCCCCGAGAGCCCGACGCTCCCCCAGAGGCCCCTGGAGCCGAAAGCGGTTCTTTCCCCCAAGACTCCTTCGTCAGCCCCTTTCTCATGCGTCTAACCCCCCCAGTTAGAGCCAGGTTCCTAAATCAAGCTCAGACAAGGGGCCGTCCGGCTGCGTGGACAGCGGCCAGGTGGGCGCCTCTCCCAACACCCGCGGGCTCCTCACAGCTCACCACCGACACCTAGCTCCTAGCCCTGGTGTCGAGAGCCCAGAAGCACATGTAACACGGGGCTCCTTACACAACCAAATGTGTGTGCGTGAAACCAGCACACTTTGTTTTATGTTTTGCCTTAAAGGATGAATTCAGGGGTCGGCTTTTAAACGCCTGGAAAACCTATGGAACCAAATAGCTGACGATGTCCGCTCATCCCGGCGGGGTCTCCACGTGGTATTTACGTGTGTTTATGTGCTGAGTTATGCTCCCTTAATGCTAGGTACACGCGAGGGCACGGATCAGCGTCCCTGGGTCAAAACTTTGTTTTGACAAACTCCAACTTTGCACCAGAGGTAAGTTTCACGAGGCCACTTGTAAAGATGCACCTGCGCTTCCCCTGTTCGGTGCGTGAGATGCCTTTACCTGAATGCGTCCTCGTGTGTCGCTTCAGCTTGTAGGTGTCTTTGCCGGCGTAGCTGCAGAGGGGGCACTGAAAAGGGCGTTCTCCCGTGTGCGAGCGGATGTGGCGCTTCAGCTTACTTGCCTAGTCAACGAGCGAAAGGTATTTATTGCAAATGGAAGCATCAAGCTTGTGGAGCCTGCAATAAAGCAGCCTTGAAAAAGAGATTTAAATGAGTACGACTTTATCATCAGAGTCTATTTCACACCCTGAGAAACAGGCTGAGCCGTGGCCTTTCCTGCCCTGTGGTGGAGGGTGTTTTCCATTTGGTGCGCATGCGTGCGGGACCCTCTGGTGACAACGAGCAGGTTAAGAGACTCTCATCTCCAGCTTCACTTTGCAAGGGAGGATGGAGATCTCGCTGCTCAGCGCCATTCACGATTTTATGCTCATTTCTAAGGCAACTTCCTCCCCAGAGCTGCGAAGTTCAGGCCGTGCCGCAGAACCAGCAGCCCTGTGTTTGCCTGAACAGGGAAACGCGAGCTCTTCCGTGGGCCGATGCCCGTCTGAGGCATGTCACACCCCAAGGCCCGCAGACCCGATGGCACAGGGATCGGGGAGGCCTGCCTTTCCGTTAAGGACAGGGTCTCTGCGCCGGCACTGCCTTCCTAAGGAGTAACTTTTAAGCAGAAGAAAATACATTCTAATTTGATTAACTGTGTATCCCGGGCAATTCATTAAAAGGCAAACACCCCGCCCATTTGATCCCTTTTCTGGCTGTTTGTGGACCTTCCAGAACCGCTTGTACTCTGCGTCACTCAGTCCAGGCCCTGATCTACCGTGGGCAGAACAGCAGGGACCCCACCAGGCTCGGGCCGCCGAGGACGGAAAGCCCGCCGGGCTCTCAGCCAGCGCTACACTCGGCCTGGTTCCCTCGTGGGCAGCCAGGTGCCCGGAAGCCTAAAGAACATTCAAGAACAAAAGAAGATGTGGAATGGAAAACAGGATTCAAACCAAAACATTTCACTTCAAGACTTTTAGGGCGAAAAATAAAAAGGATATCTAGAGTTTATCAGAAAGCGAAATACAAAGAATTGTTTAAATTACAGCACGGAAGGTCAGGTGAGCCGAGCGTGTGCCCGGGCGGTGTGGGAACCTGCTCTGGACGCTCTGGAAGGGAGGGCGGGGAGGAGCTGGTGAGGGCTGCACCCAGCTTCCTGCCTTCCTGCCGGTGCCTGTGTGAAGGGAGGGCACCAATGGGAGATTAGGCTCCTCCCCCTCAGACCAGACCAGCAAGACCCGGAGACTGCAAAGACGGGGCGATGGCAGCTGTAGAGGGTCCATTTGTTGGGGCCGCACCCCCTACAGGCTGTGGGCGACTCAGGGCCCCAGAGAAGGGTCCCAGCGAGCCCCGAAGTTGGCACTAAGAATGGGCAGGACCCCAACAGGAAGTCCATCCCGGGCTTGGGGTTCTCAGATGGCTCTGCTCTTTGAAACCCACATCCTGTGTTTCCACGTTATAATCACAACCTTTAACGCAGATGAGAAATCATTTTTAAAAATAGTAATGGCAGAAAAAAAAATTCTTGGAAGCAAATCCTGACCCTGTTTGTGAAATCTCCTACTGATGAAACACGGTTGCATCACTACTGTACTTAAACTTCAGCCGCCCCCTTCAACTCACTGCCATTCAAGCGAGTCGTCCTTCCCGGGCGGGGGCGGGCCTCAAAAATCGGGACCCAGCACGCGTCCTACTACAGAGTGGAGTCCTTAAAAACTAACTGCAGAAAACTGACACTGGCAAGTGAATGCACTGTTCTCCTGCCGTTTCCCTGAGGGTGTGCTAAACCTGCCGGAAGGTATAAATAAAAAATCTAGTTGAAATGACCATGACACACAACTGAAGACTGAAAAATTTGGCGGTCAAGGTCACAAGGAGTAGGAACGGCCACATTTGCATCTTCTTTGCACCTGACCAAGTGCCCCTGGGGAAAGCAAACATTTCAGCAAAGTTCACAGCATCTGGGTTCTACGCTAGTGCAAATACATTCTGAGTTTTGTGGAAAGAGTACTACATAAAGCGCTGGGCAGAACATTTTACCAAACTTGAGAATTATTTCTCAAGGACCACGAATACTTTTATTTGTGATGTATACATCTTTACATATAGCTCTCACTAGTTGGTAATCAAAGAAAAAAGAAATCCTGTTTTCTATTTTCAATTCAGAAAACTGAGTACTGTTTCCCACATAGAGGTATGACCAGTGTCCTCAGTAAGACCTGTTTTGTAAGAGATTCTCCTCCCAATTTAACTTACATAACTTTTACAGCAACATCTTAACAAGTCCGCCATGAAGCCTTGAGTACAAAGGTCCACTTACTTCCACACTAGCATACTTGCACATGGAGCACTTAAAGGGCTTCTCGTGAGTGTGTTTATAACGTCTGTGTCGGACAAGTTCTCCACTGGTGACAAACGCCATGTCACAATCGCCACACTTGTAGGGCCTGGTTCCTGTAAAAAATCACGTGGTTTATTCTTTTAAACGAGATTTAGCTACAAGTTTTCCTAGGAAATTATAACTTACAAATTACAGCCTCAAAATTCTTTAAGAATTAAGAAGAGGCTCTTTCAACCATAAACACGCCAGAGAGACACGTGAAAAGTCTTTGCAACATCCAATGTTTTTAACCAAAACTAAAGTCTAAAAAAATCGCATTATTTAAAGATAGAAGCAGGGGACTGGCATGCGTACACAGGCCTCCACACACATCACTGAAGGCAACATCCCTCCCCACGGCTCACCTGTATGGGTGTTGACATGGTTCCGCAGAAGAGTAACAGTCCGGAAAGCCTTCAGGCAGAGGTGACACACGTGGGGCTTGTCACCGGTGTGAGTTTTCAGATGACGATTAAAGCTTGAGATTCTAGAAGAGGTGAACATGCAGGCGTCACAGCGGAAGGTCTGTTTTACTTCTGCAGGAGGGACAAAGTTTATATATTTGTAAAGATCTTTCTTTAGGTGTTCAAATTTCATGTAAACACATCAAAGTAACTTGGTGCGTCATTTTTTTAACCGAATGTGGAAACTTGACAAAAGCTATTGCATGCAAATGGTAACCCAGAGAGTGTTGGCTGGCTATACTAATAGACAGAAGAGGCTTGGACAAAAACTGTTGCCAAAAAAACCCGAGAACAAAACAGGACCATTATGTAATGATAAAAGAATTAAACCATCACCAAGCTATAACAAGTACCAACATACATGCACCTAGTAACAGATCCCCCAAACACTTGAAGCAAAAACTGAAAGACTTGAAGGTGGAAAGAGATGCTTCAGTAACAGCGACTACAACATTTCACTCTCAACAATGGGCAGAACTAGACAGAATATCATCAGGGCAACTGAAGACTTAAACAACTTCATAAACTAACCGGACAACTGATGTAACACTGCACTCCACAACAGCAGAATGTACATTCTTCTCAGGTGCACAGAGGACCTTCTCCAGGAAAGACCATATATTAATCCAGAAAACCAGTGTCAATTAATTTAAACAGACAGAAGTCACTTGCCCTCTGGCCATCACGGAATGAAATCAAAAACTGACAACAGAAGGAAATCTGGAAAATTCACAAACATGTGGAAGTTAAACCACAGACTCCTCAAGGACCAATGGTCAAAGAAGAAATCACAAAGAAACTGAAAAATGCTGCGAGGTGAAGGAACGTGAAAACACAGGACACCAAGGCTTACGGGATGTACCGAAAGCAGCGATCTGTGGGAAATTTTTAGCTGTAAACACCTACATAAAAAGGAAAAAATATTTCAGATCAATAACCTAACTTTATATCTTGAGAAACTAGAGAAATAAGAGAACCCTAGACCCAAAGCTAGGAGAAGGAAGAAAATAATGAGGTCTAGAGTGGAGGGACATGGGGCAGAAAATAAGAAGGCGAGACAGAGATAAACAGTCAAACTGAAAGTTGGTTCTTTTAAAAGATCAGCATTAACACTTTATCTAGACTTGAAACCAAGCAAAAAAAAAAAAAAAGAAAAGGTAAAAGTTAAATAACTAAAACCAGGAAGCAAAGAGAGGGCATTACTGCCAACCACACAGACATGAAAAGGATTATAAAAGAATACTACAAACACGTGTGTGCCAATAAACTAGGTAAGCGAGGTAAAATGGACAATTCTTAGAAACACACAAAGCACCAAAACTAACTTGAGAAGCAGCAGAAAACCCAAACAGTCCTACAACCAATAAAGAGACTGAATCATTCATCAAAAACCTTCCAACAGAACCCCCTCCCCAGGACCAGACAGCTTCACTGGAGAATTCTACCAGCTGCCTAAAGAAGGAACATCAATTCTTCTCAGACACTTCAAAAAAGAAAAAAAAGAAGAAGAAAAGAGTAGGAAACACTTGCCAACTCGTTCCACGAGGCTGGTTATTACTCTGATACCAAAGAAATAAAACAGCAAAACAAAACTAGAGGCCAATATCCCTCACGAATGCAGGTGCAAAAGTCTTCAACAAAACATTAGCAAACCAAAGCCAGTGGCATATTAAAATGACTGTGCATCTTGACCAGGTGGAATTTATCACAGGAACGGAAGGGAAGTTCAATACGTGAAAACCCATCCGTGTAATACACCATATTAACAAAATAAAAAGAAAAAACTCACATGGTATCTCAATAGGAACAGAAGAAGCATTCCCCAAATTCCAGCACCATTTCATGATAAAACACTCAACAAACTTGGAATAGAAGATTCTGGGGTTGAACTGTGTGCCCCCAAAGATATGCTGAAGTCCTAACGGCAAATGTCTATAGCGTGACCTCAGCTGCAAACAGGGTCTCTGCAGATTGATCTGTTCAGATGGTCACACTGGATAAGGGTGGGTCCTAATCCAACCTGCTGTCCTTATAGGAAGAGAGACACAGAAAGAGACACACAGAGAACGTATGTGACAACAGAGGCAGATACTGAAGGATGCACGCACAGCCCGAGGAAAGCTGGGCCTGCGGCCACACCACAGGCTCCGAGAAAGGGCACGGAACTTACTCTCTTCCAGAGCCTTCCAAGGGAGCAGGGCAGTACCCACACTGTGATTTCGGGTTTCCAGTTTCCAGAACTGCGAGAGAATACATTTCTGCTGTTTTAAGCCACCCAGTTTGTGGAGTTTTGTTATGGCAGCCCTGGGGAGCTAACACAGGCACCAATTTACCAATGGGCAAAGGCTTGGAATAGACATTTTTCAAAGAGGACACACACGCGGCCAACAAGCACACGGAAAGATAGTCAACGTTGTTAGTCATCAGGGACGGGCAAACGGAAAACATGGGCTCGATACCTCATCACACTCTCTGGGACGGCTGCGATTTTTTAAAACAATTTTTATAATCCTATGATTTTAGCAGTTCGTCAAAAAGTGAAACAGAGTACCCATAAGACCCAGAGATTCCACTCCTAGGTGTGCACTCGAACCCAAAAACAAGTGTTCAGACAGGAACCGATACCTGAGTGTTCACAGCAGCGCCATTTCCAATAGCTAAAGGGCAAAAACACCCTACACGCTGACTAACGGATGACCCGATAAAACACGGTGTACCCACACCATGGGACCTTATTCGGGGGGAACGAATGAAGTGCTCACACAAGCCACAACACGGTGAGCCCTGAGAACATTATGCTCAGTGAGAGAATCCAGACACAAAGGCCCCGAGTGACCTGTGCGCGACTGTTTAAACGACATGCCCAGAGGAGACTATTTAATGGGTACACTTTTTTTTTTCAGGGTGATAAAAGTATTCTGGAATTAGTGGTGGTGGTTGCCCAGAACTGTAAATATATTAAAAACCTGAAGATGAGTGAGGAGTTGGGAATTTGTGGGTTGGATCTCTTGACTGAAGTATATGAAAAACTAACATTCAGCAAAGGTGACAGATGCCAGCAGCCACTGAAGCCAGAGGCAGGCAGCCTAAATGGCCGACTCTAACCACATGTAAGAAGGGACAGTGGTGGCAGTGTGGCTCTCTAAACTGGGTCACTTTCCAGCCCCGGCCACCCGCTGCTAGGAGCAGGAAACAGAGCTGAGGGTTGCCACATACGACTTTTTATAAATGAGCTAGAAGTTGAGATTTTGGAGTTGAACTCTCTTGATTTAATTAAGTGACAAACTAGTATTTTTTAAAAAGCCAAACAGGGAACGTTTGAGGGCGCAGATTCATCCTCTTTTCTTTCCTGGCCTCACCTAAACATCTCTTCCCCTGAAGGTGCCTCTGCTGCCTTCTGGGCACCTGCCTTCTCCTGGCCCTGAAGCACCTGCTCTGTCTCCATCAGACACCCAACCCCCCAGGGCTGCAAACTGGGAAGCAGATCAGGACCCAACCTTCTATTTAGGTGCACAGCGCTTTGTGGGAGCATCTTTACCACGCTTTGAAAACATTTGTGCACAAAAAGCAAAACTCCCTTGGATCCAATTCACAATACAGAACATTAGTTCAAAATGTCTCCCATTTCCTGACATTTTGTGAGCAACTAAGTCAACCACTTAAAATTTCAATGACCATCTTCCCTCCCCTAAAGACAAACCACAGCCCGTTGTTTGCAGAGTATTTTATACCAAATGAACTGGCCTACCGTTTGTCTTTTTTTGATTTTCTGTAGTTTTGGCTTTTTCAATAGGTGCTTGACCGGGGACCGGTTTATCTTCTTCTTCCATATTCAAGCTGGAAATTGTCAGAACAATTTCATCGCTTCCTTCATCTCCTGGCCTCGCTTCCACAAGAAAAAACTGCTCTTCTCTTTTTCCACTGACTCCTTCTTCGGCCAGCAGCTGTTCCTCCTTCTGAGCTTTCTCAAGCTAATCAACAAAAAGTATTCAAACAAGTGCAATTCTATCAATGAGTCTGGTTCAACTCTTTGCCTTAATGAAACCATTGAATCCATTAAAAAAAAACCCAAATTAAAGATGCACAGGGGATTGTCCACTGCAACCAAAATGCTTAAGTTGTAAATGACTGAGCATCAAGGGTTTGGGTGGTGAAACAAAATGCTATTTAAAAAACCCAGGGCTCCTTCTAGTATTCTAACTAGTGTAACTTTTTAAACTCTTAAAAAAACAACGGGAAGTCCCCCAGGATTTCCTTGAGGAATATTTTTAGTGCATTTAATATTTAAACTGCAAATTTTAAACTGCTTGTCCATACCTAAGACTGTTCAAAGGGCAACTCTACAAAACAGTTTTCTGGCTCTACCCTTCCTCCTTTTTATGAAAATGAGCTGTACCTTAATCAGTTCAGTGCTTTCTGCCAGGCTCACTGCTAGCTCACTGTCCTCACTGGCCACGGTCACACTCTCCTGCAGGACGTGAAACTGCATCACCTCCGTTTCCTGCATCGAGTACACCTCTTCCTGGAAGCTAATGGCCACACACTGGTGCAGGCTCAGAGGGGATCCCTCGCCGAGCCACACCAGGGACTGCAGACCGCCGCTGGCCCGCTGCAGCAGCACCTGCACCTCCCCCTGCTGCGGCGGCTCCACATCTCCCGAGGTGACGTGCACCTCCTGCAGGGTCAGGATGAGCTGCTCGCTCTCCGCCATGGTGGCCGGCGCCAGCTCCTGTTCTCCCTCCGGGATCTTGGCCTGGAGGGCCCCATGGGTGCTCTGGGCCTCCAACTCTCCAGAGCCTGAGTGTTCTTTCACTCTGCACACGCCATCTTCCTCCTCCTTCTCCTCCTCCAGGGCTTTTTCTGGCATTAACTCCAGTTCTTTGATTTTGGTGAACTGTTCAGAAGGGATTAAGAACTCCATCCCTGCCACTGTGACCTGGCCTGTCAGAGAAAAAAGCAAGCCGTCTGGGTGGGCATAGTGGGGGTTGGGGCTGGCGGGCATCAGGGCTGACCAAGGTCTGACAAGTTTCCAGCCCCAAAAGGCTTTGGGCCTCATTGGGGTCAGGATGAAGTTGACTCAGCCTAGGCCTAGGAGGGGGCTGAGCCTTAGCAGGATTTAGGCCAAAGCAGGTGTTTGTCCAGAACATTCTAGAACCAACAGGCTTGTGGCAAATCCACAGTCTAGGCTTAGCAAAGTGCGGCCTGTGCAGGGTTCGGGCCAGCGCACAGTTCCAGGCCTAGAAGGCTTGAGCTTGAACCGGCTTTCAGCAAATGCACACTGCAGGCCTAGAAGGGGGTCCTGGACACGATTCCCACCAGACCGCATTTCCAGACTGCGCACCCTTTGAGCCACGGAGGCTTTGGCCCAGAGCCTGTACCCACGCGGCCTTGGTCTCAAGGCGACCACGCGCCCGCTCTGGGCCTGAGGCACCCGCTCTGGACCAGGAGAGCCCCCACCCTCCTGGGCCCTCCCTGGCCCCCTCCTCCGCGCCGCCTGCCAGGGCCTTCCGCGCCAGCCCGCCCACGCCCACGCCCACGCGGAGCAGCTGGTGCTCAGCGGGAGACGTGAGTCTGGACCCTGGGGAGGCCCCTCACCCTGGAGGCGTGGCCTGGGCGCCAACCCGCCCAGTCCTGGTGGGCTCCGCCTTGCGCCCCGCGGT